CTGCTGTCTAGCCGCCGTGTTACTAAAAAAAAAAAAACACACCCACGAAACCGCCAAGCCTTTCCCCTCGAAGGAGCGCGCGGGCAGGATCAGCTCTACTTACCTCTCGTGACCACGGGGGCTTGCTTGCCCGGTGTCACGGTAGATGTCCATGGCTTTAAATAGCTGGCGCGGTTCTGCCCGGAAGCCGGAGCTGCTCGCTGCTGGGGGGGTGCAAATTTAGCAGGTGGAGAGCTGCAGATGGACGAGGGGTCCAGAGCCGGTATGGACCCAGGTGTAGAGGGGGTTCGGTCCCTGTGTGCTCTTCTGCCCCTGGAAATGTGGGTCTGAGCCAGTGCCAGGGGCTGAGCGCGTGGGGAAGGAGCTGATGGACGACACCTGCGCAAGGGGCTTGCTTGCCTCTGTGCCTCGGTTTACCTGGGCCGCCTGGCTCGTGGAGCTCCCTGGGGGAGCTGGACCATGCTAGCGGGTGAAGGACACCCAGGAAAGGGGCACATGGAGACTCACAGGAGGATTTAGGTGATGGAGGGATGTCTCTGGAGGTCTCCAGCCCAAAGCCCTGCTCAAAGCCCACCTAACTCCATAGTTCCATCAGGATGCTCAGGGCTGTGTCCTGTTGGCTGTTGAGCATCTCCAAGGATGTTGAGGATCTCCAAGCATCTCCAGTTTGTTCTTCTCTCTCCCAAACTGGACGCTTGTCCCGTTGCAGCCTCCCAGGTGCTGAGCTGAAGGGCTTAATCCCTTCTCTCCGCCAGCCTGGTCCTGAGCCCCCTCCCAGCCCAGCAGCCTTTGTGCTGTGCCCAGCTTTGCCCTCCTGCTGAGGGTGCTGTCGGCGATGACAATAAAGGTCAGCCAGTGGGAGAGTGTGAGTCACATGCCGGCACAGCTGATTTTAGCAGCAGCACCTGCTCTCCATACCTTGGAGAGGATGGAAAGCTGTGGCTCAAGAGGTGCTGGAGGAAGGTCAGGGCTGGGGACCTGCTCCCGGTGTTCCCTCTGTGCCACGGGGCTCCCGTTGGCGCAGCTGCGCTCGCTGGCTCTGTGCAAATTCAGGTGCCGTTTGCACAGAGGATGGTAGAGCATTAATTAACTCTCGTGATGGTTTTCCCAGCTGGGAAATGGTGTGGGTTTCGTCACAGCGGGCAGGGTGTAAGCATGCCCTGCGGCTCTTCTCTGCACAGGCTCCCGGTGGAAGTCCATGACGAACCAGGAGAAGCAGCCCTACTATGAGGAGCAAGCCCGGCTGAGCCGGCAGCACCTGGAGAAATACCCCGACTATAAGTACAAGCCCCGACCCAAACGCACCTGCATCGTGGAGGGGAAGCGGCTGCGCGTGGGCGAGTACAAGGCGCTGATGAGGAACCGGCGGCAGGACGCCAGGCAGGGCTACTTGATAGGGTAATGCACCCCTTCCTCCCATCCAGGGGGTCTCACCACGGGGTGGGTGCCCTGGGAGGCGGGGGGGCATGGGAGCACTTCAATGCACCAGTCGATGATTGCATTCCCCTGTTCTGCAGGCCCCAGGGCACCCAGATGCCCCCCGCCTCCTCAGACGTGCTGTACCAGCGGCCGGTGGGCATGCAGCTGACCCCTCCCCTGATGGAGCACTACCTGCCCCGCAGCGTGGACCCCAGTATGCCCGTCATCGTCAACACGCGCAGCCTCAAGGAGGGCGACGG